TGTGTGTGTGTGTGTGTGTGTGTTTGCGAGTACATGTGTGTCTGTCCGTGTGTGTGTGTGCAAGTACATGTGTGTGTCCGTCTGTGCATCCTACGTGCCTTTAGCGGCATGCAGTGAATATCATCCACGTGCGGCCGTGCGGGTGGTTAACAACAAAGTGTGGGAAGCGCCCAACGAAGTTTTCCGCTGGTCGTCCCTAAGATACACACACACACACACACACACACACACACACACACACACACACACACACAGCCCATGTTTGCGTAGCACGGCGAATGTGTTCTCGCCCCATTGGCTACGAATTTGAACATGACTCCAAGGCAAAAGGTGCTTGTATTGTTATTTTACATAACATATATGTTCCTCAGATTTTTCTGAGAACTTTTTTTTTTTTTTTAATTTTGTTTATGTTCGCGTTCGGGCGAACATGTTCGTGTTCCTCCGAACGCGAACACAGTGCTACGTAGAGCCGAATCAAGTTTTGAAAATAAAAATGATGTATGCATGGTTCGGCTTTGGAGACAGGCAGACGGCAAGGAAGACAGAGGGACAGAGTCGTGGCCGTCCTGTTTTCCCATGTTGGATTACTGTCAACGGAAGCCGAGAATGATGGGGTCGAAGGGATTCATGTTATTAACTTCGTTTGACTTTCCACAATAGTCCATCCATCGATGCCACATACATCCGAGCTTTCCGCTTGCTCTGCCTTCGCACCTTGACCCCAACAACCCAACAATAGTTGCTGCTCAATCGATGACGCTGAAACCCTCCCACCCCACCTGGGAGACAGTACATTCGTCAAAAAATCCCGATCAAACAGTGTGTGTGTGTGTGTGTGTGTGTGTGTTTGTGTGTTTGCCCTGGCAGACAGCACATTCACGAAATAATTGATTCTTGGTGGGTGTGCTCATGCATCATGTGTGTTTGTGTGGTAGTGTGTGTGTCTGTGTGTGTGTGTGTGTGTGTGTGTGTGTGTGTGTGTTTGTCCTGGCAGACAGCACATTCACGAAATAATCGATTCGAACGTGGTGGGTGTGCTCATGCATCATGTGTGTTTGTGTGGTAGTGTGTGTTTGTGTGTGTGTGTGTGTGTGTGTGTGTGTGTGTGTGTGTGTGTGTGTGTGTGTGTGTGTGTTTGTCCTGGCAGACAGCACATTCACGAAATAATCGATTCGAACTTGGTGGGTGTGTTCATGCATCATGTGTGTTTGTGTGGCACAAGGCTCCCATGAGCACGTCACGGCATGTTGCATCAAGAGGTGTGCTTATAAATAAGACATGAGAAAGAGCCCGCTGCTCGGCAACCCCACAAAAGGAAAGCACATAAAGCCAAGGTTTGAAAGGTCATGAAGCAAAAGGAATAACACAAGAACCAAGCCGAACCAAGCCAAACGGCAGCAAGACAAAAAAAAAAAAAAAAAACAATGACAAGGCTGAACAGAATGGCAGGGCAGGGTCAAGGAACAAGGAATTGAATGGCAAGCAGCATTAAAAAAAACATTGGGTGGAGGGTACGGGGGAGGCAGGTGGGAAGACGGACCGCACAAACCAGCGAAGGCTGGACGGCACAGAGGAGGCAGGTGGTGAGACGAGCAGCACATTGGGAGGCAGACAGCACAAGGCAGCGAAGCACCTAGGCTGGAGGGGATGGGGGGAGGCAGGTGGGCAGGCGAATAACACAAGCACACGGGGAGGCAGACAGCACACGGCAATGAAGCACATAGGCTGGAGGGCATGGGGGAGGCGGGTGGGCAGTGAAACAGCACATGGCGGCAAAGCATGGAGGGTGGAAGGCATGAGGGAGGCAGGTGGGCACGCAAATAACACAAGCACACGGGGAGGCAGACAGCGCAAGGCAGCGAAGCACATACTGCACTGGAGGGCATGGGGGAGGCGGGKGGGCAGGGAAACGGCACAAGGCAGCAACGCACGGAGGGTGGAAGGTGTGGGGGAGGCGGTGGGGCAGGCAAACAACACAAGAAAGCATGGAGAACAACAGCGAGGTAAACGGCAACAAAGCAAGAGCAGCAATTACAAAGCGTACAAGTGTGACTGAAAAAAAATAAAACGGATGATAGATTGTCTCGTCGGAGTTGAACCGACACATCAGGAGGCGGAACCCTCGACAATTTGCGGAATCTCCGTATTGATGGTTTGGGTCATGAAGTGATCACTCTTCAGAAGGAGAACTTGCACCTACGAAGCGAGTTCGAGGATCTAAGGGAGGAGTTCCTCCTTCTATGTAATCCAGCAAAGTGCGGCGCTGCAGAAGCTACAGAGAGAAGTCCACCGGAAGCACCATCAAGGGGGAAGGCAAAGGCTGATGCACCGACCGCCGCCATGTACTCTCCAAAAGACGTGGACGGTCTATACAAAGCCTACAAAGAAGCGGTGGCTGCAAAAGGATATGGCTCTTCGTGAAGCCGGATGCGAGAAGGAAAGGATGGCTAGGGTGACCGCCTCGAAGGTTAAACTACCTTAAGAAGATCTGCTGCAAGGAAGACGACTCCCAGGAACTTGAAGACGGCCCTGGAATCTATCGAAGTGGAAAGTGATAGCGGAGGATGAAGGTAACAAAAAGGGCAGAGGACCGAGCATTGTGGACGCGGCGCTTGATCTGGAGCAACTAAAGCTCCAAGGGTTTCGGGATAAACACGTAAAAGAGTTGCGCACGGGAAAGAAGCATGACCTTGAAGAAATCTGTAAAGTAGAAGGTGTCGCCTACATTAAACTTGATCAGGCTAACGCTGACGGCACGGTGGCGGAGATTCGTGCTCGACGTGATTTCGATGATTGGGTAAAATCGAGATCTGCCGCTGCCGAGGAAGATGATCAGCGTTATTCCACCTCCGTTGACGATACGAACGATGGCTAGGGACACTCCCTGAGCGCATCTTATGTCTGGGATCTTGCCCTACTTCTTCGTGAGGACCGAGATTCTCTCCCCACAGATGAGGTAAATTATATATTTCTTCTTGTTGTTATTCTGCTTATTATACCTGGCCAGGTCAGATGGTGCATAGACCAGAGCACCCAGGTCTCTTGCTACAGGGGTGTGCTCTTACAAACTCTCCTAGCAAGGACACTGGTTTTCCAAAAAAAAAAAAAAAAAAAAAAAGGAAGAAGAAGCAGATGGTGCGACAAGCTACGTACCTTGCTCTTATTAGTTCTAACTGCGACTTCCTTCGCTGTCCAGGCTCTGTTGTCTACGCTATCATTTCTCCCTGGTATCAGCTTATGTATACAGGATGTACTTCTAGGTCTATTGGTGTCCGCTGGAAAGCACATTCCGCTTCTACTCTCTCAACTGACTGTGCTAGGAGGAATGGCAAGCTTTGCCACTGGTTACGGCGTGTGAATCTAAGCAACTATATAGCAATCCCTATCTTTACTAGTCATGATTCCGTCCGAAAATTTCTTCATCCGAACCTTCAACCCTTCTCTTAATTCTATTAGTAGGAACAAGAAACATTGTAAACCATGGAGGCCGGGAAAGAAGGAGAGACGTAGATATCGAAACATCTCTCGCAACTTACCTTCATCACCTTTCTCTCCTCTCTTACCTTCTCCGCTTCGTACCTTATTCTCTTCTCTATTCTCCTCTCCACTCTCTTCTTCTTCCTCTTCGTCCCTTCTCTCTTTCTCTTTCTCTTCCTCTTCCTCTTCCTCTTCCTCTTCCTCTCTCCCTTCTTCTTCTTCTTCTTCTTCTTCTTCTGGCAGGTGAGTGTCGTAAGGCGGATCCGAGGAGAAGGCCCCTGATGAGTGCCAGGTGCGCTTCCTGGCTGAAACGTGTGTAGGGCAATGAGCGCGTTTCTTCTGAGCTCAGTGCGTGCGATTGAGCATGGAAATTTCTGTTGAAGCATGCACGAAGGACAGTCTATGGCCTCTGTTTATCACTATTCTTCTTCTTCTTCACTCTTTCCCTCTTCCTTTCCTCCTCTTCCTTCACCGATAACTCCGCATGTTTCGAACTATTCTTTTAATTCGTCTAATCCTTATACACACACTACACCCCCCCCTTCCCACCAACACGAATTCTCTTTAGATCTTCCCTCGGACCGATTTCCATTATTTTGGCTTCTGTTCTCCAGAATGCATTTGATTCTTGCACTTCCCTTCCCTTGTCTATCTCAATTACCAGCGATGATCGTCTCTCTGAAGACTGGAAGCTAATCAAACCACTTTTCGGTTCCTCTGTGATCTCCCTACCCTCTAGTGATCTCCCTATTTCTCTTCTAAAACATTGTCGCGCCTGACTCAAACCGGGGACTTCCTTCGTAGTACATAACGTTCCGCGTTTTTGCTCTAAATCACTTCACAGCAAGGGTATTCTCGT